AAAAAACGAAGATGCAAAATGCAAGAAAAAGAAGGCTCAATTTTTCCAAAATAGGGGTTTCCCCCTTCTCTTTAAAAAAGAAATTTCTCTGGAAAACAAATTCTTTTGACGTATACATCTGGAAAATGATACATCCAAAACGAAGGTGATGCAATATGCCGAGCGGATAGGTAATGAAAAGTTGACAAATACGTCGAGTGTCACGGAGAATGCACGTAGAACGGCTACCGGATAGAGCAAATTTCACAGAATCACTGATTTTCTCAAAGTGGTGAACCCAAAAAAGCCATGCTCATCTCAACACTGACGTATACTGACGTGTTGAAGGCAACGCCTTACAGGATGCGAAACATGACCACTTACAAAAGTAATGACGAGCCAGCACTGCGTGTGATAGAGAAAGCACGGGGCGAAGGATGATTGGGGGTGTTCCTTGATGATCTAACAAAATCACTAAAATGAGAATTCTCCTAATCCACGCACGCTATCTCCTTAAAACCTCAGAGTATCGACAATGCTGACAATTCAAAACTGACCATCTGTCGCATTATACCACCAAAGAAGTCGCCTCCAAAGTTACCAAATGGATTCATCAGTGCCATGCTATGACGCTGCCGAGACGGATCTTCTGGCGCACCTGAAAAAAAAAAAAAAACAAACTCTGAGAAAAGTCCGAATACCGGAAATGTCAAAAATGAAACTAGTGCGCCCATACCACTACCTGATTGAGAGGAGGGGACAAGAAGAGGAAGAGGGAATGACGAGGGTACAGGGATTAAAATAAAAACCGCCAATTTGAGAAGAGGAGCTAAAAACCGAGGCAGCCCACTTCCCTTTTTCAGGCCCCAAGGTGCGGTAAAACTAAGTATTTCGATATTTAAATCAGCGCGAGGGGGCGGGGATGGGTGAGTTTGAAATCTTTAAGTTGTACGTGGGCTGGAAGCATCCCTTAAAATTTCAGTCCCCAGCTTTCCTGGTTCCCAAGTTAGCGATTTTCTCAATCGGTATTACGAATCGGGTCGTGGTCAGCGGCGACAAGTGCGCAACGGTGGTGAACAATCCCGAAGCAAGCAGCAAACTGAGGATCAGCTAGCTGCCCAACTCAAAATGCAACTCAATACTCAGCTGCTGGTTCTGGTTTTCAAGGTAAGTTTTACACCTGCTTTGATCTATGCCGCATCGCCTAGTGGTTAAT